ATATGTGTATATATTCGATTGAAATCCATTCCTCATTTCATAAATAGAAAACTTAATAATGAAAATAAAAAAGAAACGAAAACAAATTTAAATAGTAAATAAAAAATATATGTATCACTCCATCAGTCTTAACTGTTAATATCCGTTACCTTTTTTAAAATACTCGTATTTTAAGATCTGCAATTAAATTGTTATTAATATAATTATTTAAAATTAATCTAAGTATGGGAAACTTTACCTTCCAATATTCTAAGAGAGCTCATTTGATCTTTTTTGTTGATGAATACTAGCATGTCAACATTTTTGGATTTTTGCAACCTTCGTTTTTCGATAGTACGAAGTCCAGTTTTGTTGAACATCCTCTCACTCTCAGTAGAGGTTGCTGACACGTATACATAATATTTAGTACTTTTACCTCACAACACGCTTTCTGCCTAACTCAGTTGACTATTGTTAGAGATGTTTAAAAATAGTTCTATTAAACCAGTAAATTTAGTGGAGGTAACATATTTACAAAACATCGAGCATCGAACAAAAAACATCGATATTTCTCATTTTATTGAAACATCGATGTATCGATGTTATATCGATGTTGCGCCACTAACCAGAGAACACATAGACTAGACATCTAGAACAAATTTTTGAAGGGTATACCGAAATCAAAAAAGCGTTTGTCACGCTCATGCAAAGAAAATGTAAGCGCTTCGAGGGTTATTCTGGGGAAGGGTATGAAAGCGTTGATACACATAAAGAATATGATTTCGCGACGGGCAAGAACACACACACTTGTCTCTGGAAACATGTCACTCAAAAGAAAAGAGCTGGGAACGTCGTGAACAATTTTCAATTTCTGTGCGCTGCTGCTATTTGAGAGACCATAGAGAGAGATAGAGTGAGAGAGAGAGAGTAGGACAAATAGCGCATAGCCGTACTTCATATAAGAATAGCATCATTTCGTTTGAGCGCTTGCAGTAGAGGTGGAGAACAATCGATGTCACTATCGAAACTATCGAATTTAGGGCACCATCGAGCTATCGAAATATCGATGGTCAAATAACGCGATGCTTATCGATAGTGTCGTCGATATTTTTTCTTACATCACTGCAATAAATGTTGGCGCTTTATTCATCTTGACCGCAGCAAGTTTAGTTAATCTAAAACTATTATTATATTACATTTTTAAACAAAATGGATCGCTTCCTCCAAGAAGGTAATGCCCATAAGATATTATTAGAATGTATTTTGCAATATTTGTGTTTGATTTAAGGTAAGCGCAGCATTGCCACGGCGCACAGTGGGGCCTCTGTCGGCGCGCCGGCTTCTGATTGCAGCAATGCGAATACTGCAACAATAACGCCCTCACAGGCGAAAAGAAATAAGATTTCTTTTATTTTTAAATCGTAACTTTTGGATCAAATAAACAATATATATATCTTATATTCAATTCAAATATATTTGGCTGTTGGGGTACACTATC